ATAGCTCACTGCAACCTTAAGCTCTTGGGCTCTAGTGATTCTCTTGCCTCAGTCTCCTCAGTAGCTGGGGCTACAGGTGCCTGCCACAACACCAAGCTAATTTTCCAATTTTTTGTATAGGCAGGGTCTCACTCTTGCTTAGGCTAATCTCTAACTTCTGACCTCAAGCAATCTTCCTGCCTTGGCTTCCTAAAGTGCTAGTGACACCAGATTTTTGATACTGGATTACCAGGCTCTTGGTCTTGAGGATTTGATGAATGAATCGACGGACCACAGGATCAACAGTAAGTTAGGTTTTATTCAACAGGTATTACAGCTCTCACAAAGAGCCAAACCTCCTTGTAGAGCAGGAAACAAGTGTTACAGCTCTTACAAAGAGCTAAACTTCCTTGCAGAGCAGAATATAAGTGTTACAGCTCTTACTCTTCTGCTCTCTCTCCCTCAGAGGTCTGTGGCGGTCTACACTTGGGCTCTCTGCTCAGCGGCTTAAATAGGGGCAATTGTCCAATGAGCTTTTGGGTCCTGAAAACAGACCAGTCAGGAGCAGGTTTTGAAGATGGACCAATCAGGGATACACTGGAGGAAGAGGAGGTGCCCATTTGTGTCAGGTCCCTCCTGGAGCCTCTAGTGGGGGAGCAAAGCTCTCCCATTTGCTGATGCTCCAGCCTGCTGGTTCCTCTGCAGTCTGCCACCAAGACAGAGGCAGCAGGTCCTCCAGCCCTGCTCAGCTGAACTGGCTGGGGTGCCACCTGTCTGGTATCACTAGGATTACACTCCCCAGAATGCCTCCACCCAAATGTTAACTAATCATTACTTACTATCAACTGGAAGACTTACTTATAATATAAATAGTAGATTAACATATTTTTTTAGATACTATATATTGTTCTTACAATAAAGCTATAGAGAAGAAATGTTATTAAGAAAATTATAAGGAAGAGAAAATAAATTTACCTTTCATGAAATGGAAGTGAATTATTATAAAGGTCTTCATCCTCATCGTTTTGACAAATAGGCTGAGGAAAGGAGGAAGAGAAGAAAAAGTTGGTCTTGCTGTCTTAGAGGTGGCAGAGGCAGAAAATCTGCATTTAAGTGGACCCTTGCAGTTCAAACCCATGTTCTTCAAGGGTCAGTTGTAATTGTGCTTAATTTTTTACTTGTTGAGTTCCGTTAGTATATTTAACTTCTTAGCACAAGGGCTATAATTTTCATTTTTATAGGGGTCCCAGTAAAATAAATAACTGTTGAACTTAGAATGTGGAATGATAAATCAATTCATGTTCTTATTGTCATCTACCACCACCATTTATCATTCTATTTACCACCCATACACAAAATCCCTCGGTGATTTAGACAAAGAGGCTAAAATAAAAACCTAACAGTATGATCAAAGACTTATAGGAAAAATTGTGTGATATAATCTTCCCTTGAGATTGGGAATGAAACCAAATGAGACCTAAATTCTAGCCCTGCCATTTATTAGCTATTAGCTATGTGGGTGCAGACACATACTTAACTTGACCAAGCTCAGCTCATTCCTCAGAAAATCTTTATAGACCTGATAAGCAGTAGTTGAAATCATATAATAAAACAAAAATATGAAGGTTTTCTGTGTAGTCTTATCACTCTATACTCTAATTTAAATATGTTTACACTGTTTCCAGATTCCTGGAAAATGATTTTAAACTAACCCAGAGAACTCTCTGAATATTATTCTTTGTTTCAAACTATTTCCTTGTGGCAGGAAGTGATAAAAACACATGGCATGGACAGCTAGTGACTGAAGAGGAAGTTCATGGTGTTTGTCTTTCCTCCAGAATTAGAGTTCAGCAATTAAAGATAAAAATGTGACTTGTCATGTTTGTACGAGGGACACAATTACTTGATTGCAAAATTACAGTGAACCTAGTTTTTTGGCATTTGTATTTTGTTGATATTTATGAATTGAGGTGTTTTTAAAATTAAAAAAATTTAGGCTTTACCTTTCATTTTGTAAACTATAATGATTAAAATACCATTAAACTTCTTTTTTGTTTGCCCTGTTGGTTTAGAAACTGAAAGAAGGTTTAAACTAGTACAGCATTTTGAAATCATTGACAAACACAAATTAGCATTCCATGGCAATATTGTATTGCCTTTGAGGAGACATTGTAGGTGATTTTTAAGATATGCGGGGAAGAGGTAAACAAGGCTTTTCCCCAGCTTTGTGCTGAACAGCACACAATTGTGATTGAAAAGTAGTGACTGACTTAAATTCCAATTCATTTGTCACCAGATTCCTGAACTCCCCTGGAAATGAGATGGATGAACTGGGGGTTGTCACAGTAAAAGGCAATTGGATAAGAAAATCTGCAAGTCACAATAGATGCTATTCTAGAAGTTAGAATACAGGTATTTTTATTTTGGGGAGCAGATTCTGTAGTTTGGAAAGAAGAATGCAACTTCTTTCAAATAGCTTTCATTTAATTCAAATCAAGATTTATGTGGTCTGCTACTGCTGAATATCATTCTGACTTCTGATTAGCTGTTAGTCGTGGTTTATGAAGATTCAGATGCACTTTGTTATGAGTAAATTGGAGTTCCTTTGGTAAATGTTTAACTTTTTATTGTGAAACCCCTTGTGCTTACTTATGTTGTCAGTTTGGCATACTCATGCACTGGGGGAAACTCACTGTTAAACCTGGTGAGTGGAAAGGATCATGGGTATTTACTGTAAGAAGAAAGGGAAAGTAAAGATGATGTAGGTTATACCATTTTGTTCAAGAATTAGCTTTGGAAAGGTTATTGAGGAAATAGTATTTGAGAGTGGTAGATATTTTTAGATTGCCTTTAAGTAAAGTAATGATCTTTCGTTTAATGAACTGCAGAGAAATTAGCATTTGGGAAATCAATTTAGTAAGTTGCAATTAAACAATGGAATATAATAGACTATAATACAACACACCAGAGTACACATACTTTGTAAGATTAAGTTAATTTATGAAACTGATATTTGAGTATCAGTTGAGAATCCAATTACATGGATCGTCATATTTCTATATATGGATATCTACACTGTGTTTACCATGAAATCTATTTCTCAATGTGAGTAGCCATTGAAAAAGTTTGAAAGCCACTTGAATTTTTCTCCCATTGTATAGACGAGGAAACTGAAAGACTCTGACTCTCGGGTTATCTGAGTGGGTCTTCCTGACGTGGCTTGTCTATCACCAGGTCTCTCCCTGTTAGCATATGTTTGATGACCTATTCATCTTTTACAATTTTTCCCCCATGCTTAAAAGTTTCTATATTCTTGTGACCTATATCAAGGATGCTGATTCTGGGGGAGATAAGTCTTCACTATGTCTGTGAGCTCCATGTTGGCTATGTAGTTGATACCTACAGGGGGAAAAGAATCTTTATAGCTCTCTCTTAGGTAAAGTCAGTTATTTCCCATAGGTAAAATCAGGTGGAAAGTTGGAACAGTAATCTAACGAATTTCATCAGTAATAGATATAAATAATCTTTATTAGCTTCTACTATTTGTTTCATTTCACTTCAACAAATATTTATTGAGCTTCTACTTTGTGCCAGGTATTCTGCCAGCCACTTATTTCCTTCTTTATGGGGATTGAATGATCTAGACAATTAAATCAATCCCTTCCTTTGCTTGTGGTATATAAGGATATTTACTGAAGTAAGAAGTGTTTTGTTTGTCAAAGATAAAAGAGATGTAGCTCATGCTTTAAAACATAGTACATCACTTTGAAACTCTGTTGTGCTTTATCTAGAAATGTTCCTAGTATCTTGAACTCAACCTTTTCCTCGTTAGGAGGTCCTGCAATGATAAAGTTTACCTGTATTATTTTTCTCTTATCTTTGATTTCGTAACACATTGAATGTTCTCCCTGTTGCTATTTACACAGTGTCAGTTCTGCATCACGAGCTTATGAATGATGTTGTTTTTCTCTGACAACCTGAGAATAAAGGCAACAGGACCAAGGGGACTGACGGTCTGGTTGCCTTGGGAGGTTTTGTCGTACCCACATTATTACTGCTTCTTGTTTGCCTTTCTGGTGGCAGCTCCTAAAGGTGGTGCTCTGTTTTCTGTCTCTCCTTTTTGTTTTTAAGGTGTTTGTGTAAAGCATATTATTCTGTTTTTAGTTTTCTTATTAGTTGAGTACTAGCCACATAACTTATTGACTATAGCAGTTACAGCATCATGGAATAGTCCCCAGATGGCATCATGAGCCTGCTTTTTCTTGATGGCTGTCACTGAAAAGAGCAATACCCATTAGGTGGGTCCAAGCTGAAAGATGGAGATCCATGAGCAGAGCCTCATCTTCTCAGTGGGTTTAGAAAAGCTGTGTTGGGGGTGTGTGTTGTTTTTAATTGGTAATTTTTAAAATCTTTGCTAATTTGATAGATTAAACATAACTTTTTGTAGTCATTTTTAATTAGTGGTTTTGAACATTTTGCCGTATCTTTATAGGATTTCCTTCCGGTTTGAATTTATATTTGTATAGTTTGCTCATTTTTCTTTCAGACTATTCTGTTTTGTCATTTGTTTGTTATTATTCTATAACTGTTATTACTTGCAGTTATTACTTTCTTTTTGAGGTAAAGTCTCACTTTGTTGCCCTGGTAAAGTGCTATGGTGTCATAACTTGCAGCAACCTCAAACTCCTGGACTCTAGTGATTCTCTTGCCTCAGCTTCCCAAGTAGCTGGGACTACAGGCCCCTGCCACAATGCCAGGCTATTTTTAGAGATGGTGGTCTTGCTTTAGCTCAGGTTGGTCTCAAACTTGTGAACTCAGGTGATCTTCCTGCCTCTGCCTCCTAGAGGGCTAGGGTAACAGGCATGAGCCACCATGCCTGGCCTAATTATTACTTCTTGACTGTGGTTAAATTTTTACCATATTAATAGATTTTGAGTACCTTTTAGTGGCATTACTTACATTCGTATTGTGCAGCCATCACCACTGTCCATCTCTAGAACTTTTCTATCATCTCAAACTGGAAAATACCATGGTTAAATGCTACGAAGTAGGGGGAAAAGCCCTAATTCTATGTGTGTTGCACAGGCCTGAGGGCCTCTTCCATTCTTGTCAAGGAGAATGCTAACCTCTCCTTTCATACAACACCAGAAATACTTCTTGATTAACACAGTCCTCTAATGTACCTCTGGATCTAATGCTGCCAAGATTTTTGCTACTTCATTTAAAAGGTATATTTGAGGCCAGGTGGGGTGGCTCATGCCTGTAATCCTAGCCCTCTGGAAGGCCGAGGAGGGTGGATTGCTGGAGGTTAGGAGTTCGAGACCAGCCTGAGCAAGAGTGAGACCCCTGTCTCTAAAAATATCTGGGTGTTGTGGAAGGCAACTATAGTCCCAACTACTTGGGAGGCTGAGGCAAGAGAATTGCTTAAGCCCAAGAGTGTGAGGTTGCTGTGAGTGGTGATGCCACAGTACTGTATGGAGGGTGACAAAGTGAGACTCTGTCTCAAAGAAAACCCAGAAAAAAGGTATATTTATACATTAAATAAATAGGCAAACAGCTATTTTGATATGACCATCTTACATAGGGAGTTCTGATTTTTTTTTTAGTCTTTATAGTTCCTCCACTTTTTATTTAATCTAGTGGTGTTTGATGTTTTTTCTTGCCAAGTGATATTTCCAGCTGTGCATGGAAATTAATTTTCTATTTGAATAGACAATTCCAGGAAATTATCTTTTAAGGTTATAGGAGGCAAAGAAAATGTTGCTTTACATTTTTGTGTGTGAAGTGTTCTTGGCATTATAAGGGAGAGGGGAAGTTGGTTTAAGAGTTCATGTTTGGCAGTTTCATTTTATTTTTAAGTAATGTTATTCAAGTAAAATAAACTATACCATTGGTCACAAAAGTGGTCAATAATAAGAAGTATGTGGCACTGAAAACTTGTTCTCCATCTACAAAATAATTCAAAATGGATCTTCCAGGGACTCTGAAAACTCTTTTGGACAGTAGACCTTTTTGTGTATATGATTCTGTGGAACCTCAAAACCTAAGGCTGAGAATCTTATCCTGAACCTTAGAGGTAAGATATGTGTTGGAACTGAGAGTTTATCAGATTTTAGAAAAGTTGTATAATTTTAAAAATGTATTGGATTTTAAGGACCACTTAAACCTGTACATGAGTATGACAACAAGTCTGATGGCCATTCCAGAAAAAGAGTTCCAAAATTGCTTTGAAGGGTGGACAAGGTGTTGGCATCAGTACATAGCTTCCCAATGGGAGTTCTCTGAAGGTGACCGTAGTGATATTTAGCAGTAAGGCATGTAGCACTTTTTTAGAATGAGTTCATGAACTTGTCAGCTATGTATTATTTTGTCTGTCACATTTAATTGGGTCTGGATGGCTCTGCATCTTAAAGAAATTAAAATTTCTACAACAAAGTTCATATACTAAATCCTAAATGAGATAAATGAAAACAATAAATAGCTTCATGTCTGCGTAGGCCATTTTATCTACTAGATGCATTCAGATGTGTCGCCTATGAGTTTTGTTGTTTAGAATCATGAATAAGGAACAAACAAAATTTTACCTGTGCTTTAGAGGCTGCCACCTCCTTTGGTTACAAGTGGCTTGTCTCTGTGCTCCAGCCACGGCGGCTTCTCCCCAGCCCCACTCAAGTTAAGGCCTTGGCATTTTCACTATGATAGATGTTTTGTTTTGGATTTCTTTACTTATTACTCAATGATTCCTTTGCTGAAATAATCCCTTGTTTTCCAGTCATTTTGTGTCTGAGCTCTGATTCTTTATACTCAGTGTTTGTCATTGTGTGTAAATGTTTCATCTTGCCTGAAACTATATATTAGGTTCTTCATCATCTCTATTCCTTTGCACTGGTCGTTCTCAATACTTGAAATGTCTTTTTCCTTCTTCCTCCTATTAAGTTTATCCCCTAACACACCCTTATACTAGAATAATTTAGTTTCTCCCTTTTTCATATTTCCTACAATGCTTTAGAGCTTTGTGTCTGTCTCTCTTATAGCATGCAGTACATCGCTCCATAATTATTTGAATATTTATCCATTCTGTCCATCAGAATGTAAGTTTACTGAGAGTAGTACCTCTTTGTATACCCATTACCTTGCACAGTGCCTGGCATATCACTGATTCAAAGCTTTTCTTCATAACCTAAAGAGAAAGCATGTATTTGGAGCTAATGGGGAAAGATTAGAGACCAGAGATAGAGGGATGTGCAGTAGAAATAAATTAGAGAACAAGATAAAGTAGTATAGATTAACAGTGGTTTTATGTAGCTTATGTGCACATGGGGATTAGAAAATTAAAAGATTTAGATCAGGTACGGTAGATTTAGATTATATGGCCTATAGTCCTAGCACTCTGTGAGGCCAAAAAATGGAAGATCACTTGGGACGAGGAGTTAAGGATTAGCCTGGGCAGTAAGCAGACACTATTTTTGCAAAAAATTTAATCAAAGGGACACAATTATAAGAGGGACTTTACCTAACAAATGCAATCAGTGTAACCTGGTTCTTTGTGCCCTCAATGAATCCCCAACAATAAAAAAAAAAAGAAAGAAAGAAAGAAAGAAAAGAAAATTATCTAGGTGTGGTGGTGCACACCTGTGGTCCCAGCTGCTTGGAAGGATAAGGCAGGGGGATTGCTTGAGTGCAGGAGTTTGAGGTTGCAGTGAGCCGTAATACTGCCCTCTACCCAGGGCAGCAGAGCTAGACTTCGTCTCAGAAAACTCAAACCAAACAAATAACAACAACAGCAAAAACTCACAGAAAATTAAAAGATTTATATGGTTTTGATAATTGGGAGAATTTCAAGAAGGAGGTGAATTTCTAGGACTTTGATTTCCTTCTGAAAATGAGGAGCTTGGATTAAGAATTTTTAGGATTCCTGCAAGTTCAGAAATTATGGAGAAAAAATATCTATATTCCAAAATTATCCTAAGGTGTAAAAAATGGCCCAGAGTAAATTTGGAAAATAAGTCAAATAGTATAGCAGTTCATTTAAAATTCCATTGCACTAGCCAGGCATGGTGGCTCAAGCTGTTAATCCCAGAACTCTGGGGGACTGAGGCAGGCAGATTGCCTGAGCTCAGGAGTTCAAGACCAGCCTAAGCAAGATCAAGACCCAATCTCTAAAAATAGCTGGGCATTGTGGCAGTCCTGTATAATCCCAGCTACCTGGGAGGCTGAGGCAGGAGGATCACATAAACCCAAAGAGTCTGAGGTTGCTGTGAGCTATGATGCCATGGCACTCTACCAAGGGTGACAAAGTGAGACTCTTAAACAAACAAACAAACAAACAAACAAAAACTATTGCACCTCCTCATACATATATTTCTAGCTCTGTGTTATTAACATCATACAATCTCACAATCTCCATTATTAATTTATGCAAGAATACTTTCTGTTTTGAATAGCACATCTAGGCTATATAGAATGGAAGTTTTGGGAATTTGATCAATATGTGATATTTATTTGGGGGATTTGATCAATATATGATATTTAAATTATAGTCTCTGCCTTTTAAATTTTTTTGTGACTAATTGTACAATTTGAAATATGGTGAATTTTCAGAAATAGTTTGGGAAAAATATAACTCTCTTTAAAATGTATAGTGTCGGCTCAGCGCCTGTGGCTCAAGTGGCTAAGCACCAGCCACATACACCTAAGGTGGCAGGTTCGAATCCAGCCCGGACCTGCCAAACAAAGATGATGGCTGCAACCAAAAAGAATAGCCAGGCATTGTGGTGGGCACCTGTAGTCCCAGCAACTTGGGAGGGTGAGGCAGGAGACTCGCTTGAGCCCAGGAGTTGGAGGTTGCTGTGAGCTATGCCACGGCCCTTTACCCAGGGGGACAGCTTGAGGTTCTGTCTCAAAAATAAAATAAAATAAATAAAATGTATAATGTGTATGCTGATATAATATATTTGACATAGAAAATATTGAACAATTGGGAACTAACCCTAGCCCTAACCCTAATACTAATCCTAACCCTAATCCACAAATTTTAATTCAAAGATATTAAATAAGTAGCATTAAAAGTCAGCATTTTTGTATCAAATAGAACTTACTATGCCCCAGGATATGCATTGTATGTTAGATATTTGCTTGGATAATTGTCTACTTACTTTCTGGTATGCACAACACTCTCCTTCTGAATGCTTACCCAATTACCATCTACAATGTACAGCTTCCATTTGAAAATAATCTGTCTTAAACTACCAAGGTGCTAATGTTACTAGTTGTCATGTCTCTTTCATTTGCTTTAAAACTCCCTACTCGAGGACAATTAACAGTTAAGAATTGTGTCAAGGGAATAGTGTCACAGCAGTAATACTTTTGTATGTGTCACAGATACATAATTTTTAGATACAATTCTTTAGATACTATTCTAGAAGGAAAGTTTATTCCAAATAGAGATACTTTGAAATCATTTGCCTTGTTAACTGATCCCAGCTTTCTTCACTTCATGTAAAGTTGAGTAATGTATCCCTAGATTCATTCATGTATGTATATTTTTATACAAGGACTTAGCCATTCACCTATTAGGTCAGATGACCTCTTAGTTCTGTTTGTATTATAAATAGTTTTATACATAGGTAGTTGCATACACAAAGATCTACTTTCACTGTTTGCTCTGTAATCAGATATATAAGAGATTAAAATAATGAGATCTACATATTCAGAATTTAAAAAAGCATGAAAAAAACTTTTGTGGCAACTTTGCTCCATTTATAAGTCACATTAATGACTGCTTTGCTTCTCAGTAATTTTCCATTTGTAGCATTTCATACCTGGATACACAAATGTAATGCAATTGAACAAGAAAACAATTATCTGTCTGGTGGAAATAATGTACTTACCTCATTGAAACAATTGACTTGTTTAAAAATACGCAGAAGTTTTAGTTCGGCTCAGATGGCGGTTACCTGTAATTTGTAATGAATTTCCAGGAAGAATTAAAATCCTCTGCTGTAATTTAATCAGCAACTGAATCTACTGGTTGTGAATGATAAATTTCGTGCATATTTCCCTTCTCATACACATCTCTACTTGGAGCCATTTTGGAATTGAGAGGGTTTTTTCAATAATCTATGAGATTTTGTCTAGTTTCCTGG